GGCTGGTAAAACCACCATCCTGTACAAACTGAAGCTGGGCCAGTCCGTCACCACCATCCCCACTGTGGGCTTCAACGTGGAGACGGTTACTTACAAAAACGTCAAGTTCAACGTGTGGGATGTCGGGGGCCAGGACAAGATCCGTCCCCTCTGGAGGCACTACTACACGGGCACGCAAGGGTTGATCTTTGTGGTGGACTGCGCCGATCGCGACCGCATCGACGAGGCCCGCCAGGAGCTCCACCGCATTATCAACGACAGGGAGATGCGGGACGCCATCATCCTCATCTTCGCCAACAAGCAGGACCTGCCCGATGCCATGAAACCCCATGAAATCCAGGAGAAACTGGGCCTGACCCGAATCAGGGATAGGAATTGGTACGTGCAGCCCTCCTGTGCTACTACAGGGGATGGACTCTATGAAGGGCTGACATGGTTAACATCCAATTATAAATCCTAATGAGAGAATAACTATTTAGTCTACAAAGAATTAAAGAAAAAAAAAAATAACCCACATGGCTTTCCGGAAGAATGATTCTCTACTGAAAAGTAAAACAAAAGCATCCATAGGATTATGATCACCTTTCTCCAGTTACCACCCTTTCCTTCTGCACACTTGACTGGATTCCTGTTTTAACTCTTCTTGCTTGGCGTTAGGATGCTCTAATCTCCGAATGTGACACGAACACAAGCACTAGATGCTATGGCAGACTTCCAGCAAACAGGGGAAAGACACATTGTAGACTTGCTAAGTAACTTCTTTTTTTTTTTTTTTTTTTTTCCTTCTCCCTCTTGATAGCCCTTAAGATGGTTTGATTGTTTTGGGGGATGGTTAGGGGAGGGGTACTATTTTCAGTGTATGCTTTTTTTTTTTTGATTATATATTTTTTTTCTTCTATCACTTGCTGTAGATTGCTACTTTTTTGCATTCATGCAGAATATGTTGATAGATCTACTTACATCTAGTAAACTGAAAATTATTGCTTAAAATCAAACTGCAGTCTGTCTTTTTATATTAAGGACCTTTTTTTTTTTTTAAAGTTCTGTTAATCTGTAACTAAGTAGTGACTCTCAGTCTGTCTTCATATCTCAGACTAATAACGAAACGAATTCTTGCCTACAGTGGCAGGTAGTGAGAATACCATTGTAACACGTTCAAAGTGCATATCAGGCGTAATGTTAACTCGGTAATGTAAGAACTGCTTTGAAATGTCAGCTGTGAAGTTCTGAACCGTACATCATGCATGAGAAGGGATGCAAATAAGTTCCCCATACTACATAGCAACCGTATAGCAAATAAGACATGAATGATGGAATAGTTCCAGGGTAGATACTCTTCAGTTTTTGTCTTGCATTGCAAACTTCAATGATGTTTAGCTGCAGTTTCTACTGCTCGTGTCAGTCTCCGATTCAGTGCAAGATAGGTTCCTTCCAGAACACGCAGCAATAACGTGTAAGCGTTGCAACGAGTTTTACTTTCAATGGCAGATGTTTAGGCAAAAATCTAGCACCGACTTGCCTGTCTTGCGATCGAGACAAATTGCTTTCGTCTCAAGGCAGGTGAAGGCATCTAAAAATCTTAAAAGGATTTCTGATTCTTTCTGATGTGTAGCGGAGAAAGAAAATTTTTTGGTTTGTTGGGTTTTTTTTTCCATTTTGTAGACTTCTGAAGGGGCAAGCTCCGTGTTAAGCTTTAACCGAGCTCGGTAATTTCTGACATCTGCATAATAGCCATTTTGAGGAAATCACTCGGTGGTTTAGTTTTCCAAGACTCGGCTGAACTCGGGCAGGTAGTTGCAGTCTTCGCCATCTGTCTCGGTAGCTGGTTGTTGCTGTAGTCCTGTAGGAAGGGAACTATGTTGGATGTCTGAAGCCCATTGAGTAACTACTAATGAGAGTGGGGAGGGGGGAGAGAGAGAGAGAGAGTATACGACTATGAATGTAAACTGCCATAATTAGTTCTTAAAGGGCAAGCAGCTCATTTGCCGTATCACAGTTTGCAGATGTGACTGGAAAAAAAAAAAAACAACCAACAACAACAAAAAAAAAAAAACCCAGAACAAGTATTGGTGTAAAACCACAGTTGAGTATTAATGCTGGGTGCAAAAAAAGTGGTAAAGCAGCTGGTTCTTATTCAGCCTTAAGGATTAACTTCAGATTTCCTCAAGGAGTTAAACTCGATTGGGGAATTCTAGGAATGTATGCTACAAAACCAGAAGAAAATGGCTATTTTTTTTCTTTCTTTTCCCAAGGATGAGTTTTACATGAAATCGGGGGCATTACACTACATTTCTGCAGTGTTGACTGCATGCTAAGTACGTTGTATATGGAGCTCTTACCAAAGATGTATGGGAAGATAAAAATAAGGAATTCGCTTCTGAAATGAAATGCTTTGGACCACTGAAAAGTTCTTTTAGAATACGGTTCCAAAAGTCTTATCCTGATGTGGGTTGCAAATGGGACTGAATGGCTTCCTGATGCTAGAAGATAGAGCATTGATTGACTATGAGCCTTCCTAAGTTACAGAGTCTGCGAAAGCTTAATGTAGAATAACTCTTAAATCTCAGCTGTAAAGAAGAGGAGGTGAGGGATTTTTTTTCACTCAAGGCTTTTTGCCATTGGAATACCATTGCTCTATTTTCTAGCTTTTTTTTTTTTTTTTCCTGTTGATGTAACTTAACGAATAGTGTGGTGGTATAAAGACTCAAAATACAAGAATATGGTTACTGTTTTCTTCTGGAGCATAAATAAATAGCCAAGCACAAAGTAAATGCCTAAACTGGAAAACTTGAAGCTCTATTAATGGTTCTTGAACTTTCGTAAATCTATTCTCAGTCAACATGAAAACTTCGATAGCTTCGTTTTTCGTCTAAGTTGATTTACTATGTTTTCAAGTGCTGGGGCAGACTTCTTTGCTAGACTTTGCATTAAGTTGAATTCACAATTTTGTATTTCCTTAGGAACTTTGTTATTCTGTTTTTGTAGGTGAAAGGAAACTGATTATGCTTCTGAATTTTTTTAATGTCTTCTTTTTGGGGGGGAGGCGGGGAGGGGAGACAAAGTTACTGAAACATGTGGCAGAGACGTCAAAAAAATAAATGGCCATTGCTACTGAACAAAATACAAAGGTTTCGCTTTCAACATGTCCTTTATAGGTTGTAGCTGAACCTCACCACGAACTAGTGGCTATCAGGCAGTGAACGCAGCCTGTAGGATAAAAGTGGCAATCTGTAAGAAATCCTATGATTTAAAAACTAATCTGGAGTTTAAGTGCATCAATTTGTGTTCATGTGAATTTATGGAGTAAGTTTTGAATGGCGTTAATCGTGTCTGATAAGTGAATGAGTTTGTAGACTGTGATCTCCCTGACTAAAGTAAACAGGAATTTTGTGTTCTCAATATGGCTGTAGTGTTGGTAAAGAACTAATAAGCAGAAAATAAAGCAATTATACAGCGGAGCTCTCCTGGTATGTTACTTATATTTAATTATGAGAGAAACAGAAAGGGGCAATATGGTGCTGGAGTAGAGCGTTCTGCCGACATAAAGAGGTCTCTGTTCTGGATCTCACGGTTTTGAAAGCCTGTCTGTAATTCCTTTGAGACGTAGATTAGCGACTATTTTTATAAGTGGAAAGGATGGTACTGCTTCAATACTCCCACTTGCAGTTCACAATCTTTAGCAAACTCGAGCGTCAAATTTACCCTGCCTCGCTGCCAGCCCCGCGTAACTTGGGAAGGCGAGCGGCTCCGTGTGAGGGCACGGAGGCACCGGTGCCGCGCGGCACGGCGCCGCGTTTCACGGAAGCAGTGACTTGTGGTCGGAAAGGGGAAGATATTAGGGCCGGTGTAGAAAACGTCAGCGACGGACAAAAGGGTCGAGGAGTGAATAGGGGCGCTTGTGGAGCGACAGATGTGGCGCTGGGATGTCTCTGGTGCCTGAATAGGACACGAGCGAG